GAGATGGATATTAACGTTCGGAGCTCCCAGCCATCAGCTTTAACTCTCTCTTCCTGAGGCTTGGCTGGACCTTAACCACATCTAACCTGAAACAAGTGTCACACTTCTACTAAATACCAGGGATGAAGCTTCCCTTCAATTTTTAGCTTAAAAACTGAGGCACAAACACACTTTGAAGTATTAGAAATCCCTTGTAGGGGTGAGAAATTGTTAATATCATATATGAGGTCTTCTGGCTCCTTTAGCCTGTTTCTCTCAGTGTGTCTTCCACATGCATCCTCTTCATTACTCATTTCGTTTAATTAATATTTGGAGGGATTGACAAGTTCATCCATTTGAAGCAAATCTGAAGCTTAGCTTTGTGCTCAATTTTTAACTTAATGGAAGCTTCTAGTTAGAGAAATTCATGTGCAGTTATGAGATTTGGTCAATGTATGGTGAGAACATGCTATACTCTAAGCATTGTGTTAAGAGTTGAGGGCACAAAGATACATAAGCCCAGTACTGACCTCAAGAACCTCACAGACTAAGACTATGGGCCACAGGTCAAGTAAGTACTAAGGCTGACACGGGAGCTGGGAAGCAGAGGCTCAGGGAAGTTGTGTGAAGGCATTTGTAGGGATTATCTGACTGGAAAGGTCTCTAGGAAGCTGGATAGTGAGTGCCGAAGTTTAAGAGGGATCAATCCAAACTCAGCTTCAGCAAATCCTTGCTGTGTAGGAACTTTGGGCAGCTACACCAGATACTCTGAAGTTTCAAGAAACTGTTAAATCGCTGCCCTGTGAAAGACTGTAAATTATTTCAAGCTGGCTCAACTTGTTATCCATTAGATATATCCTCTCCCCAATGATCTACAGCTTGTTCGTACCTTCACTTTAATCAAACTATAACTGAGAACTTTATCAAGTCAGTGTGAAACAGACTTATTCCTCATTAACAGTAACTTTACAAAAAATGGTTCTTAGTCATATGTGAGAGGAAAAGTTTTTTTTTATCCTAAGTTAGTCAGAATAGATTGAGGTAAGATGCAGGATCAACAGAGCCCATAATTTCAATGCTACAACATTTTCCAGACATCCATCACATATTCATTTTGGATCTGTGATGCACTCCGAACTCCTGCCTTTAGCGACAGCACAGTACAGTAGTCTCTCTCTAGGACACTGTTGGCCATAAAGACTAGAGAAAATCAGGACCTCAGTTCTGAACACATCTTCTTTGAACTGACCTCAGCACTAAAGCCTATATTTCATTAGGCAAAGCAATTCTTTTAGCCACAGACTGGGGAAGTGCAATTCTTAACCCTGACGATGAGAAGGAACAGCATTTCATGACCAACCATGTTACGTCAAATAGCAACTGTTATTTGAAGATGGACTTTCATCGACTTTAGTGTCCTAGGAGGTAGACCATTTGTGGGCAGCTGCTGCCTCACTGTCTGAAAGAAAAGCATTTAGTGCCCCCGAAAATGTGCGTTCTTTACTTGGGTAAACCACTAGCTGTGCTCGTTTAGGGAAGAAAATAAAAGCAAAGAAATCACTTTGGTTTTAGGAAGAAACCACGAGTCTCCACAATGTGACTGCAACTATTATAAAGATAGATGCTAAATGTACCATTTAGTAATAGGAACATCTTTATACTTTGTTAAAGTTGGGAAAATGACCCAAAAGGATATCCTTTTTTTTTTTTTTTTTTTTTTTTTGACGCTGTTGGGATGCAGCCAGGACCACTTGCTTAGAGACTACCCACAGCTACTTCAATACTACAGTATCACAGTGAGTTGTTGCAATAGTGTTGTCTGCAAAGTGTTTATTATCTGAACTTTAGGGGAAATGTTTGTTAACCCATCACGGAGGTTAAATCACATTATGATTATTTCAGTCAACCAATCTATTCATTCATTAAAGAAATATGTTTATAGTTGGCATTATGTGTCTAATTCTGTTCATACTGCTGACGTATGAAATGAGTGAAATGGAGTCTTTCCCTAATGCAAATTATAGCCTAGTGGAGAAAACAGACATTAAACAAATTATCCTTTAAATAAATCTAAAATTTCATACTAAGTAATGCGAGGCGAAGAGTAAGGGCTGACAGCTACACAGAATGAAGAAAATTAATTTAGATTGTGAGAAAAACTTGCATCTCCTCTGAATGTATGTTTCTACAGCTGAGATTTTAAAATCTGAACAAATTAAGTGATGAGACCAGCATATGCGAAGTTCCTGGGGAAATAAAGGACGGATGCTATTTACAAGGGAATGAAATACATTCAGGGACCCTATTAGGGCATATTATGGTATGCAGTATGAGGACAACTCAGATAAAGAAAGCTGAATGGCTGTAGCACATGATTAGGAGATAATATAATGGAGACTTGTTAATAGAGAAGAAATCGAGGAGAGACGGGGCATCTGTATTTCTGACTTGCCCATTGGATGGAGGACTCACGGCATAAGAACATGAAAAGGACTGGGTTTAGAGAAAGAGTTTGCACAAAGACTCCCATGCATTTAAGGACACTGCAACTATCTTATGAAGATATGTTTTAAGGTTTAGATCTCATAGGAGGAAATATTTCCTCACAGGAGGAAATATACTTTGTGTAACTGGCACAGGGGGCACTACATTCAAAAAAAAAATCAACACTATACCGCAACGGATCTTGGGACAGAGATAGAGGGTCTTTAGACACTCAACAGGTGGACTGAAGGGGGTGAATGGGTCCATAGGAAACCAGAATGCTGTTTTACCTAGAGAAGAGAGTGTTTGAAGGAAGAAGTCCCTCTTGGATGTGTCATTAGGGCATTTGTCAAGAGAACCATAGGAATGACTAAAGTCAGTCTCTCCAGAGCTGTGGCTTTGATGGCAAATGGCAACATTGGTCCCCAGTAGGCTCCAGTGGCAACATCTGGGGTTAGTCTCTGCAGAGGGAACAGGTTGTATTGAAAGGTGACAGTGCTTTCTGAAGAGTTTACAAATCCCCTCTTTGAGTCCATCCCTAGAGTATGTCTGTGGGCATACCTAGAGAATAATTTGTTTCTTGAGAGTCACGAGAAGAGAGGCTCATGGGAAGAGACTCAGCTTTACAGAAATTTAAACACATAATTGCCATTGCCATTTAAGTTTGTTCTTCTAAGACATTGTATGCTGTAACAGTGTCTTCACTTAGTAACACTGAACAAATAAAATTGTCCTGCAGGGTTGTTGAGATGGTGGAGCGGGTGAAGGTAAAAGCCCTCACCAGGAATTCCCAAAAGCTGGAGTTGAATTCCCAAAACTCAGGATGGGAAAAGAGAATGGACTTCTGTGAGTCATCCTCCACCCTCCAACATGCAGTGGCACACGTGCACCAACATTAATACATGAACATCACACACACACACACACACACACACACACACACACACACACACACACACACGTGTGCGCACATACACACCAAAAATAAATAAAAATAAACAATGTAAATAAAGTTTTTTTTTTGTTTTGGAGGGTTTTTTTTTTTTTTTTTTAAAGATTTATTTATTTATTATGTATACAGTGTTCTGTCTGCATGTATCCCTGCAGGCCAGAAGAGGGAGCCAGATCTCATTACAGATGGCTGTGAGCCACCATGTGGGTGCTGGGAATTGAACTCAGGACCTCTGGAAGAACAGCCAGTGCTCTTAACCTCTGAGCCATCTCTCCAGCCCCTGGAGGGTTTTTTTGAGACAGGGTTTCTCTGTGAAACAGTCCCGGCTGTCCTGGAACTCACTCTGTAGAACAGGCTGGCCTCAAATTCACAGAGATCCGCCGGCCTCTGCCTCCCAAGTGCACCACCACTTCCTGGCCATAAATAAAGTTTCTTACATGCACAAGAGGCAGTTGGAGCAGGCCCAGGAATTTGACATAATCCTTAAGTGAAACTAATTCATATAAGATGAGAAATAAGAAGTTCATATGACACTCAACGTCAGTGGTGACTAGGACAGGGTTGTCTCTGAAGAATTCTTGAAGATCTCCAAGATGATGGTGGACTTTCCACTGAAAGTGTCTTGAGTGTTTGCAAAATTTTACCTAGAAGACGTTCAAGGGTAACTTAAATGATTTGATTGTTTTTGCCGAGATGTTTGTAAACACAATAAATGATGAGGTAGACATAAAAGATTGTCTTTCTTGGCAGGAGGGGTGAGTCTCAATGCTTTGTGAAAGTTTCTGTGGGTTGTGAAAGCTCTGGGGAGATTCCACAACAGAATGGCTGAGATGAAGGATAACCTATTGGGACAGGGATTTGTCTGCTTGCTTGTTTTAAAAACTTAAACTGACTATTGTTTATTTTAGATAGAGTTGCTCCAAGAATTAACTTGCTTTCAAATAGGATAGCAGTGCTATTTTAAGTGCTTTATTTTAGTTCCCCCAAGTTATATAAGGCCCTGTTTGACTAACCTTGACGTTGAAATCCCACTTCTGTTCAGAAACTCTTTGTCACAGTTGGGATGGTTTGTAGGTTTGTAGTGTAATGATCCAAGATAAGGACTGTGACAGCTGGATAGATGGCTCGGGGGTTAAGAGCACTTGCTGCTCTTGCACAGGACCTGAGTTTGGTTTCCTGTACCCATATAGGATGGTATACAACAACCTGTAATTTCAGTACCAGTTTGATACCCTCTTCTGGTCTCTGGTGGCACCTACCAGCCTATGGTACACATGCCTGCACTCAAGACATATACACATATACATAAAATACATAATTTTTTTTCTAAAAGAGGATGTGAAAGAGATCTTTAATTTCAGGGAGTCTGACCCCATCCTGTGTTCATAATCTTTAACAGTGCTCCAGAGTCTGATTGCTTATTATTTCCTGGTAATACGGGGTGCGCATTCCGTAGTACTTTCATCCACCTCTTCCTCCTATGCTCCAAGACAATTGGTCCTAGCTCTTCCCTTTAGTATTGTGACCATCTGTTGGCTAAAATATTAAGGCAACTTCACGTAGTTAAAAGGGAGGTTTATTTTGTGGGATAACTTACAAGTGAAGGGATAGGTTACAGGGTCTGGGAAAGGTGTAGCGCAGTCCGGCGGTGTTCTCTGGAGAACTCTCCTTGGTCTATCTCCAGCTTCCAGGGTCCAGGAACCAAGAGAGCCAGCCCATCCGGATCTTGGGTCTTCAAGGGTCCTCTCTGGGCCCCGCCTTGTAGGCATGAAAGTTACCGAAGCCACAATGGGGGTGGTCCTTCCAGATCAAAACTGGACCGGCTACAACCATCTTTACACCAGCAAATCAGACCGTGACTTCTTGCTGTTCCTAGGGTAAAAAGCAAAGCCATGAACATGACCAATGAGGCTTTCTCTACTCAAGTGATGCATACTCGTGTCTCCCTCTAACTTCTTTTATTTTCTCTACCTGACTTGTTTCATTGTGCTAATTTGTCTTTCCTCAGCTTTTTTCCCCTTCCTTCTGCCCATAATGTCCTTATCCAGAAAGTTCCTAATCTTTGAAACCCATAACCATGTGATCTTTCTGGGTACAAGTCCTCTTACAGATGGGGCTGAGTGTAGGGATATATTGTGTATCCTAATAAAGTTTTCCTGAAGATCAGAGAGACAAAGCAACAAGCCACTGCCACGACTCACCTCACGGATTCCACAAATCCTGAATTCTCACTGAAATCCTCTGAGTCCTCACCCAAAAGGCTCCAGCTGAGAAAGCCTCTAGCTAAAAGGGACTCTTCTGCTGAAAAGCCTTTAGTTCCTGTCTCCTCACACCATATGTGTGTGTATATATATATATATATATATATATATATATAGATAGATAGATAGATAGATAGATAGATAGATAGATAGATAGATACAGATATAGATATTGATATATATAGATAGATAGATATAGATAGATATAGAGATAGATAGATAAATAGATAGAGAGATAGATAGATAGATAGACAGATAGATAGATATCACCACAGCTGAGGACTTGGTAATGAAGAGGTTACCATAGATTATCTAGTTGGGCCCACCATAGCCAAGAAGTTGAGTAGGTGATGGAGCCCGGAAGTTGAAAGTGGGAGGCAAAGGCTGGAAAGCTGCACGTTTTGTTTGGGGAGATGAGATACAAAGCAGCAGTGCAGCTACTAGCTTTGAAGATGAAGGGAGGAGCTCCGAGCCACGGCCTAAAAGGCCTCTAAGCACTGGCAAAGGCAAGGCGATGGATTGTTTCTCAAAGTTGCAGGGAGACAGCATCTCCGTTGACGTCTTGATTTTAGCTCAGTGAGACTCATTTTAAACTTTCAACCTCCCAAACTATAATATATCAGCATCATTTTAAGCTGATACATTTGACGTGTTGTGGCAGCAGCTTACACAAATTCTATCCCTCATCGTCACCTACACAGCTCTCTGTCTCTGTACCATTTCTTCAAGACAGCCTCTTTAGGTTCCTCATCAGGAGTCAGAATCTGCCTCCTGTTATATTCAAGCCCCTTGGATTGATCCTTCAGAGCAGGTGTCTGCATTTGATATTGTGAGTCTGAGGAATAACTTGGCTCTACCATTGCTTGTTAAATTGTATTGGAGATCAGCCATGGCCTAGCCAATGAATGAATGAATGAATGAATGAATGAATAGGTGAATGGGTGAATGGATGAATGAATATTATAGAACTAATAATGGTGATTATCTTTCACACTGAAATAAATAAAAGCTAAGTAAAGAAGCAGAAGGAGGTGATTTGTATTTTGTTTTGTTCAGTTCTATATTTTTTTTAAAAGATTTATTTGTGTGTGTGTGTGTGTGTGTGTGTGTGTGTGTGTGTGTGTGTGTGTGTGTATTTTGGTGTCAAAGGACAATATTGGATGTCATTCTTCAGGCACTATTTAACTTTTTTAACATGTTTGTGGATGCCCATGGAGGCCAGAAGGTAGAGTTGGATATCCTGAACCTGGATTGATAGGTGTTTGTGAGCCACCTGATGTGGGTGTTGGAAACTGAACTCAGATTTTCTGCAAGAACAATGTTTGTGCTCTTAACCACTGGGCCATCCCTCATGTTTTTAGTTCTATCTTTTTGTTTGTTTTAACACTGTATCCTGAGAAATGATCCCAAGACATGATGAAAACTATGGCAGGACAGACATTTCCCTCTCATCCTGACAAAGGACATGAGGGCTTGAAAACAGTGGGCACAGAGCGTGGGATTTACCCACACATGCTCTGAACTGCATTGGCGCGGGACATTCAGTTTAGTGATTATGACACTCTCAAGCCATTCTCCAAACTCAAAATGCTGATGTTTACCTTGTTCTGCAAACTCTAGCCAGCTCAATAACATTGAGGAAGGCATAAAAAAATGAAAACATCACTGCATCAGATACTTTAGTGACAGCAACAAATCATCCCTAGAGAATTTCAACAGGAAACACATTTAAAAAAAAGTAAGAGAATCAGGAAGAATGGGGAGGCATCACAGGAAGCAGAGGCAGTAGGCATCAGCCAAGACCAGGCATGGAAGGACACTGTGCCTGTCCCCATGAACACAGATGCCCCAGCTCATTTTCCCTACATAAGCGGCCTGCACTGTCGGCTGTTCTTTGGATACCAATGCTGGCACCCCAGCTCCCTCTCTTCTAGGAAACTAGCTGCCACTTCCACTGCCATCTGCTGCCACTGACATCTCTGATCCTCTGCTTCCCTTGTGGGCATTACTGGCTTCCACTTCGAGTCCAGCGATGCTGTTGACTGACTCTAGGACACGGGGCCCAAGCCAACCAAAGCTGAGAAAAATGAGCTGTCTCTGCAATGTCTGGAGAGATAAGGGGATGCTGTCCCCTTAAGAGGTTTAATTTGGGGAGCAAGGTCAGATAAGGGTCAATTATAAGATTTTAAAAATAATGAAAAATGAATGCTCATTCCAACAGCCTCTATTTTGACTCAGTGTAAAGAGGGACAATTTATCAATTGAGAGCATGAAAGCCTGTGTTGTCAACTTAGTGAATTAAATAATTAGCTCTTTCTTGTGACCTTTAAGCTACTTATAATACCTTTATCTCCCGACAGAGTGCCAAGCTGGACCCTAGTTCTCAAGGCATACTATGTATTATTTGTTACTAGATGCTATGCTGATCCTTTTGGTCAAAAACATAATGCAGTGGGAATCCCTCATGCTTTCAGACTTGTTGTCTCTCCCCCACATCCCATGGAGGGAGGGTTTGTGTTGTCTTAGTCTGCTGGCCTGGCTGGGAGTCAGTTTCTGTTAGTATATCAAACAAGATCCCTAGTGATTTTCAATTCCACCTGGGATTTCCTTTTCTTTCCTTGTTGAAGCAGTATATAAAAGAGATCTATAGAGTTTCCTAATCAATGTAGGTTTGTTATTGCTTACCCAAGTGTTTAATAAACCCATCCCAGTGTAGCTAGAAATACTTCATTGACTGCAACAGAGCTGTTCTTTTCTTTCTGGCCTAAGTGGCCATATAAACTATAATTAAGTACTAATTATGGGCTCTACTGGTCAGACAGAAGGAGGCAACATGCCTTGTGAAATCTGCAGAACAAGATCTTGGAGGAGGATTTTGTTGTTTCAAAATATAGAATAATCACAGTGAATCCCGGAGACGTGAAAAGGGAACATTAGTTTTTCTCCTCTTCCTCCAGCGTCCCCTGACTTCTGTGCTGTAAGTGATGTCTTTATAAATTAATATTCTGTTTTGTCAATGCATCAATTACTTTTCTACTGCTGTGTTAAAAGGCCATGGCCATGGCCACTTCTACAAGAAAGAGTTTATTTGGGCTTATGATTCCAGAGAGATAAGGATCCATGATGGCAGAGTACAGGCATGGCTGCAGGGGCTAGAAACTAAAAGCTCACATCTTTAATTACAAATGGGAAGCAGAGAGGAGAAGGTGAAAACAGTAGCCATCTTTAAATTCCCAGAGCTTACTTCCTGTGACATGCTTCCTCTGGCAAGGCCACACCTCCTAAGCCTCCCCCCAAACAGCACCACCAACTGGGGGCCAATAGTATCTTAAAGAAAATTAGTACCCCCCCATATTTAGTAAAACTGTGGTACTCTAACTTATGGAAGGGACTGAAATAGTATAAAGTGCACTTTTAAAGTTCTTGCTAATTCAGAAAGTGCAATTTTTTAACTTTCTTATTTATTTATTCTTTGTGCCTTTCACATCATGCATCTACATCCCATTCATTTGCCAGTCCCTTCATATCCACCCTCTTCCTTTGCAACCCCCCCCCCATAAAATAAAATAAAATTTAAGAGAGAAAAAAAGGAAAAGAAAAATCAGTCTCATCATGGAAGCTGTGGTGTGACACAGTGAGTCACGAAGTATACCTTTGTATCCATATATGTTTACTTGCAAGTGTTCATTGCAAAGAGTCATTGGTCTGGTTTGAGGCCTCTGGTTTCTGTTAACACTATTGATGCTGGGCCCTCAAAGGGACTTCTTTTGTTGTCCTGTGTCGTGAAGATCTTGCAGGACTGGTCTGCAGGACATGTCCCTTCAGATCCAGATGGGTTGGATGTTGGGGTGGGACAGCACATGACCTTGGTTCTGGGCCTGGGTAGCTTCAGGGTTAGTTAGCTCACCAGCTCTCCCTTGCCCTCACTACCAGGGTGAGCTCTCCTGCACTGCCCTGGCTAGTTCACCTCTTGCAGAAATGAGCAAGGGGCAGGGCTCATTTGAAATTATGTTTAGCAGGCAGTGGATGTGATACTTTGATGGATAAAGTGCTTGCCTTGCCAGCATAAGGACCCAATTGGATCCCTAGAATTCATGTAAACTAGCCAGGAATGGTGGCTGTATGCTTGTAATCCAGTGCTGAGGAGTGTGAGAAGGCAGATCCCTGAGGCTAGCTCAACATCTTAGATAGTTACTTGGTGAACCTTAAAAAAAAAGTTACATAGTGCTTGAGAAATGACACCCAAGGAAAACATATGCGTACATATAGGTCAGTTTGAAATTCAATCTCTGAATTTTAGGTATCATTAAACTGTGCAACATCCATTTCTGTTGTAAGTTTTCAGTGAAGAGAACAAAGAGAGTATGATTTGAGAAGCAGGGAGGAGGTGCTGATTCCAAGGACCATCCCCCCACCACACACACATGCTCACACGTGTGTACAGTCACATACAAGGAGGCCACCTGCACACCAGTGCACGCAGCTTTCAAATATCCCTGTGATCTCACACTGCTGCCTGTCAGAAAGAGGGCCCCGGCCACGGCTCTGCACATACTTCACAGGAGCCCAGCATAGAAAGGACATATTTAACAGTTTATAACTGTCTCAGTGACAGCAAGTTCTAATTTAAAACTCCTGTGTAATACTTGTTAGGATGTTTTTATATCAAAAGGCCAGCCAAGGTCTTCCATGAAAAATTTCTAGACAGTGAAAGAAACTAATCCTTTTTAGTGATGTTTGGCTTCTCCTCTGCGGTAGGCGATCTTGGTTTCATATTTTATATTCATGGTTTGTTAGTGAAAGGTACTCCCTCAAGGAACTCACAGAAAAAGGAAGGGAGACCACACAGTCTATATAGAAGTGAAACGCACATAGAACAACAACAAAAAATCCTGCTGAAATTCTAAAAAGCCTTGGAACATTGTCTATTGTTCTCTTGAGGGACTTCTCACTGCTAGGCTGTTTGCTATGCCTGAGGAGTGAGCTAGCCCCGGGTCACTTTTCAAATTTGCATCTTGTGTAAAATAAAACATGATCTGTAGTCACAGAGTTCCTGTCCCCACAGGATGTGACCACCTTCCCGCTGAACCTTTACCTGGAAGGAATTCAAGGCTTATTACAATTCCCTTAGGGTGGGGTCACAGGTGAGGGCAAGCTGCCTATCACATCCAGTCAGTGCTCACCTGTGTGGTTATCTTTCACTGGAACCGGCCTGCACACCGTAAGAAATAAGAAATGTGATAATCTCCTCCCATAGGTGCTTCAGGAACATTCTTTGTCTCCTCCTACAAAACATGTAGGTATGTATCACGTATGCTGAAATGCAGGATATGTCAATGCATGAGCATCATGAATATGTGTGAACATATCTGGGTCTATTTGCACTGAAGCATACAGAGAATAACTTAGGTATTTTGTGATTGTTCTTTGCTATTGCAATTTTGACATGCATTATAAAAATACTATGTATAAATGGCCTAAAAGCTGGGTAACTGTTTTCCAGAATTTTCCTAGGCATTCAGTCATATCAAATTACTTAATAGTTGTTGAATATTAATCATTTCTGAAATAAAGTACTTGGGGATGTATCCCAGATCCCTTAACAGTCACACACATAGACTACTTTCAGGCTATAAGACAAAAGTAACAATGACTAAACAGCATCGTGCATTAACTATTTCCTTTATTGTTTATGTGACACACTATGTTTAACAATCAGACATGTCTCTCTGATTCTTTTATTTACCTATTTTTGTCTTAGTGTGTTGCATGCATATTTTATAAGCCATGTCAGGTAGTCTTTGGGAAAAAAAGTGTGTATGTGGGGGAAGGATGGCTTGAGGCAGAGGCGGTAAATAAATAAATAATACCTGATTTGTATGGGGCACTTTCATTTTTTAGACAATACATTTAACATCATGTTAGTTCAGTGTCTGTCATGCATTGATATGGTTATCATTTTCTTTCTTTTTCAATATAATGGAAAATGGGAATAATCTTTAATACTAATGAGCTTGTGTTTAAAAGCATTATTGATTTCTTTTAACCAAGACATTACATTTTTTTATAATTCATGCTTTACTAAGATTTACTAACAAGTAAAGTTAGAAATTGGATTGTTTTAGATACCTATTTGGAAGCAGATGACGGCCCCAAAGCATATGGCGTTTCGAAGTTTGTGTTAGAAAGCACCATGGTGATGATTTTGACCTAGTCATGGGTCATATTTTTTTGGCTATTCTCATCACTGTCTGTTCTGCAAAAGGTAACTGTCCTTTGCCAAAGTTGCCATAAAGGCTCGTGGCTCTGTTTAATCCTCTGTAGCTCATTAAGCTCTGGTTTCTGGAATTGGGCAATGACTACTTCTTTCACTTAAATGGTTTCAACTTTCTCTATTTTCTACCTCTTCTGACCGTTCAATCCCTGTGTACAATTCCTTTACAGGCAGCTAAAAGAGTTAGAGATGTGTTTATTCAGATAATAAACATCAGTGATGGAGATGCCTCTCTGTCTCACCTGAGTTACATTAGTGCGTTCATATGACTAGGAAAAATAGAGAGGGATGTTTTCGAGCTAAAGAATCTTTCCACTAGGACCAGGTTGTACTTCATGAAGACTAAAGACAAACTATCTTTCCTGGTATTTCAGAGCACCCACAGCCTGAATACAAGACTATTTACTTCCAGATACAACTGTCCCACTCCCTTGGCACTTGGCGACTACTGTGGTTCACTAGTAGTATTCTGTACTGATCCCATTACCCCGACCATTCCTGCTGGGCTGTGAGTTCTGCAGGGATAGGAGTGGAGCAACATACATTTCAATGACTGAGGATCTTGCCCATGGTACAGGAAAACCATTATTAAAGAACTAGGTTCAAGAGTCTCCAATTGAAGAACAAGGCAGACTTGTCACTCTAGAATGCTTATGATTTTCTGAGAAGGCCACACATATTCCACGTGTGCTTTTCCTTACATTCTCAGATAGTCCTGTGGTAGACAGTCTTCCTTCCAATTTATGTATGGAAAGTCTAAGACTAAAAGTTTGGTGCTTTGCTTAGTCAGCTCACTAGGGAAGACTGGGCTGCACGGTCCAGTCTTGGGCTCTGCTTAACACACAATCACACTGCAGTGTATAAACAGGGCTTAAGACAGGATTTTATCCACCAATGCTCACTCACAGTCATTTCTCCATGGAAGTGATCAGGATAACTTTGGTAAGGTATGACACAGCTAACAGTGCTCTCTTGTTCAAAGCTGTCATGGCCTCCTATTATCCTACACTCAGTATAAAGTCCCCAACAAGAGCAGTTATTCGTTGCTTCCTGGTTTCCTCTACAACCCAGCTTCTACTCCACTGACCTCTCCTCCTCTTACACTCTCTGTCTATCTCAAGCCACAAAGCCCCTTGAAGGAATCCTCTAGAAACCCAAGGTGATGTCTTTTCATTTCAAAGAAGTATTCTTCCCCCGGTCATGCCTGGTTCTTCCCTTCTCTTCCCAGTTGTCTCACCTGCTCAGTGAGGGCTTCTTTGATGTACTCTATAGCACCTGCTTCCTTTCCCGTGTGTCTGCTCTACCATTGCCTGGCTTTCCTTCTGAGAAGTTCACCTTTGGCAGATACCGCTGTATGTAGGTATTTGAGGGTTTCTTTCCTTCTTTCCTTGGCACAAGAGCTCTAAAGTTCAGCAGCTCTCTTCATTGTATTTCCATCAACACCCCACTGCCTACCTGGTATTTAATAGATTTGCAATAAACCAAGTAAAAATTTAATGAACTACTATTCTGTCAGAGACTTGCTGGCAGCTTTGATCTTTCCAGTCCCTTGGATCCTTCGTCTTCACTTATGAAAGTGAGAGTGCCATGTGGGGTTCAGAACACCATAGAGAGTGAACATTGACATTGGAGCCAAGAGAAAGTAGCTGTATTGAGTGGGAGAGACACTCTGAAATCAATTCTCCAAAGGAATGCCCAAGGTCCAAGGTGACGGTGATTTTTACATTGCTCAAGCGGAATGAATGTTAGTTTGTGACTACACCAAGAGTACTCTTCTCTGGACATAAGATAAAAAGCCAAGTACAAAACTAAAATGATAAACTCCCATGTACTGAGTAATGAACTGTGACTGCTGCATATACTTCATTCTATGTAATATATCTAAAATAACATAAATGCATATAGCCTCATCTCATTTCCATGGGATTCAAATTCTTCTCCCCAATCCATGGAGAAGTCAAGTGTCTTGTGGTCGAAAGGTGTGTGCCAAGTGAGACATGCTTTGACTGACAGAAAGTAACATTTGCAAACAACTCAACCCAGCTCTGCAATCTGAGCAAGAAAGTCAGAATCCAATTCAAAGCTACCCATCTCCGTCAGATGTCCCCACTCTCCCCACCCTTCCACAGTTTCATCTCATTCCCGGCACCTCCTCCCTAACACCAATATACAAAGGCACACACACCACAGGGCAACCTCAAATCTATGGAGCACAGCCAAGGATTTGAGGCTGAGGTTTCCTGTGCCAAGCACTCTCCCGCTAAGCTCTGAATACAACACCCTCTTTTGGCTTCGCTAAAGCTTCACAACAAATCTTAAACCAGATACACTCCTTTTAATCCTGTTGTTACTGTCTTGTGTGGTGCCAAAGTAAAGACAAGACATGCTTTTAAAATGGGGATATATAAGTAGGATACACAAAACACACTTAGAGCTATTCCCCACAGGGTTAAAGCATGATCTCTCCTAACCAGGCTTCCTCCTTCCTGGCTCCCACTTCCTGGGCAGTAGTAAGTAAATAAATGAACCAACAAGCTACACACTACTCTATTTTCTTTTGAGAGGACAAAGCAACATAAACGCTTTAGCTGTTTCATTTTAATTCCCTGAGAAAAAGCCAAAGCAGCATCTATTATGGCACAGAGGCAGCACATATATTCTTTCAGTTACCTTTGTCATGGCCCAGTGATAGCTGGTGTGAGTGACGCAGGGACTGTAGCTCACAGAAGTGAGTTGATTTAAGATCAGACAACCATGTATTGTCATCTGACTGTACTCTGGATTCAAATACAGTAGCTCCAACATCTAAGCTTTTACGCTTACCCACTTTCTTCCAGTTTGCAAGATGGCCAATACATAATAAATAAATGAACAAGCACGCATTGTTGTTCAAGTTGTGACAAAGAAGCCAACTTTATGCGTTTGTATGAGTGTGGTGGAACTAAGGAAAAAGAAAAAGAGAAGAGGCAGGAAGCTGTGAGGATGGCAGAACTGGACAAACATGGTGCCAGCATGACATGTGCTGAGATGGCATTCCCTCCCTGGGGGTCAGAGGTCTCTGTTTTACTTGCTGCCTGACCTCTTCATGCAGGTTGAAAGCAGTTGAGGCAATCAAGCAGTAAACCGGTTGATAGGACTCAGCTTCTGTGCGTCCATGCTCTGTGGCAGGGAGAGGGGACGTCCTGGTGAGTGAGGCTAAGGGCTGATGAATTAGTGCTTTTTACCAGCAGGGGCTCTGTACCCCTTCATTTCTGAGGTGAAATCACCATATACCTCCTCCATCTTGTCAGGGTTGTGGCAGCTCTTTGTCACACATTGACATGAAACTTCTGAGGAGAAAACTGGAACAAAGTAGACAGGAAATAAATATTTATCAAAATAAAAGGTGAGGGGAAAGAGTTGATCTTCCACACTGCCTAGATTGATTAACAGGGGCCTGAACCTACGCAGGAAATTGAGAACGTGGTCAATTCTATTGCAAATATTATTAAAACCCATCTGCCTTCCTCTAAAAAGCCACACAACTTCGACCAGTATAGTTCTTCCAAGTGGCCAGCATGGCAAGTTTAGTTCACTAGGTAGATAGATGTACCTGATTCAGACATACACCTTAAGCATAGGTCTTGTAGACTGACATCTCTCAGTTTTTAAATGAGGGTTTCTTGAGGCATAACAATAAAACAAATTACCTTTCCTTCCTATATTTCTTATGCGATGAATGACCTCGGTCATGAATCAAAACTTCATTTCTGATATAGAGAACCAGCTGTACTCATGTCATGGGGGAGATTTCAGAATATCTCCTTCCACAAATCCTTGGAATATGCTTTACCATGCATCAGCTTTAAATATGGTTTGATGCCATTATTTTCCCACAACTGTTGAATCAGAGTACTTTCTTGGATCGACATCTGGGCCTTTCTTTACATCAAATGCAGAGATGCTAAAAATGACAGCCCTCTGGTCAGATATTAAAATGTACAATCTCTCTGACTCTTGTAATGCTTGGCTGATGTGCAGTTATTGTCCTGAAAGCCAGTCATTGGAGTTGAAAGATAAATATTATTCCATATCTTATTGAATAAAATATATTATATCACAGGTGATGGAGACAGATTGACTCAATAAATTCTAATAGTGTATGCTGAGAAAGAGTGGCAATAAAAATGCTGATGACTCCACACAGGGAGAATATTGAATGTCATTAACATGCTATTTCCTCTGTTCTGATCTCCCTGTCCTGTTCTTCATACTGTTATAATTTTTGTCAGTGGGTTTTTCTTTGGTTTATCAGCCTAAGAAAAGAATGTATTTTTTTTTCTTTTTTTTCAGTGCCTTAAATTATGGAGGACTTCACTGATTGAAGAAATGATGTAGTCACATAAAGTAAAGAAAACTAATATGGAATGTTTTCTTGACTACGTTCCCCAAATGAGATGTTATTGTATTCTATAACTGAGCTCAACTCAAAAATTTGTTCACATTCTCTTTTTCTTTTTCTTTCTTTCCTTCTTTATTTTATTTTAATTTTTGAGGCAGGGTTTCTCTGTGTAACAGATCTGGCTACTCTGTAACTTGCTTTGTAGAACAGACTGGCCTGGAGAACTCAGAGATCTGCCTGCCTCTGCCTCCTGGGTGCTGGGATTAAAGACACGCATCACCACTGTCTGGCTCACATCCTCTTTTTCTTAACTTCATTTTCAGTTTTTTTTTTTATTAAATGAATTAGTTTTGAATAATGACTGAGAGTTTTAAAAGCAAGTCAATTTTAAAAGTTTAATAGGAAATTTGAACTAGTTCACAGTAAGAGATTATTTTTAAAGATGGTAATTACATGTCTCTTTTTACACAATATTTTAAAAGTTTCTGTTGACTCTTATTTTCTGTATAATGCCTGGGAGATGCTCCTGTGTGCGCACATGCACACACACACACACACACACACACACACACACACACACACACACTATGCTGATGGATCCTGGCTTTTTAAGTCACAATAGTTCTATTAATATAAAAGATGAAGATTATACTGGGAAAGTGGCAGTAGTCAAAGATGACATCTTAACCTAACAAGGGTTCCCAGGTTTCTAAACTGCAAGATTCAAATTAAAGTAGTCTGTCCCCACAGAACCGGCTCCTTCCTCGGGCTCCCTCACCTCTGTCCCCATAGGAACCGGCTCCTCCCTCTGTCTCCCTCACCTCTGTCCCCATAGGAACCGGCTCCTCCCTCTGTCTCCCTCACCTCTGTCCCCATAGGAACCGGCTCCTCCCTGTGTCTCCCTCACCTCTGTCCCCATAGGAACCGGCTCCTCCCTGTGTCTCCCTCACCTCTGTCCCCATAGGAACCGGCTCCTCCCTCTGTCTCCCTCATCTGACCAGCACCCTCATCCAGTCTGCTACCCAAAACAGACATTTCCATAGACCCCGCCCGTTTGCCCTGTTCATCTTCCCCAACAGGTTAGATGAGGCTCCAGTACTGCTGGTGTGCCTGCGCAGAAGCCTTGAACCAGACCAACAACTCATTGCAATGAACATTTGCATGTAAAGCTAGTGGACTAAAGGATATACTGGATGACATTCTGCAGTTTCCAATGCCACTGAGAGGAATGGAGAAGAGCTGGAGAGGCAGGAACAAAGGGGAGCTTGTTGTTGTTGTTGTTGTTGTTTTGAATTAATATTCTTTTAAATTTCCTTTTGGGGGGCACTATGGTGGGTGAGGGGTGGATATGAAGGGACTGGGAAATGAGCGGGATCGGGGTGCATGATGTGAGATCCCCAAAGCATCAATAAAAATTATGTTAGAAGAAAATGGATGGGAATCAAGAGAGACGGCTCAGCCCTTAAGAGCACATCCTGCTCCTGCAAAGGACCTCAGTTTGGTTCCTAGCACGCATGTCAGCTGGTTCACAAGGACCTGTAACTACAGCTCTAGAGGATATGAATGACACCCTCTTTTTAACCAGAGGAAATTACGTTCACACACACCCTACCTTCTCACATATACACATAACTAAAAATAATGAAACACAAAACAGAACTAAACTAACATCTCAAAATATGACACCTTTAAAATTGGAGTGCTCTGAGAGCTTCTGGTGATAAGATCCTAAAACTGAGAGGGTTTAGATCACATTGTGCACAGACAGACTCAATTTTGTGACTTAAACAGACACACCCAGCTACTTAACCCAAGATACCTGGGACAGTGTGGCATGCAAGAATAATGTTCCTTCTTTAGCTTATTTACTTTATGTCCATAAACTATTGGCTGAAGAAAGGACTAATGATTGAGGAAGCCTCAAACATTACTGTAACATGTACCTTGATTTATACAGTCTGAAGCAATTCTTGTCCTGTCGTTTCTGCTTAAGCTCCTGTGGGTCATTGATTTCCCCAGGCTTCTAAAAGACACCTGACAGTGTGTTAAAATCACCATCAGGGACTGTGCCAGAGTGTCGTCTCCTGAAGGCCTGCAGCATTTCTCACTTTGGTTAGCTCTCTTTATCCACACTCATATTTTGCTCCACTTACTTTAGTACCTTCTGACTTCCTCCCTTACATAGTCTCCCAACTCTAATGGGCCATGCTGACTGCGTTCTGGAGCAAATTCCCTTCTCTTTGCAAGTGCTGCAATTTCCCCGGTAGGTGATATGGAAGCTGTATTTACAGGCATTGGCCTGGTGCCTAGAGGTGAACCAGGGAGCAGATCCTGATGGAGACACACCCTGGTCTAAAAGGCAGAGGACTGCATAGTCTTCATGAAAGAGGGGAACTTTATCTCTTAATGGGAAGGACTCAGCCACTCCCAAAGGGTCTGAACATTTTGTGGAATTAAGGATTTGAGCACAGTGAATGCAAAACCATGTATTTCCCCACCCTATTCACAAAGTCTTTATTCAATTGAGGATTTTTCTTCTTTATTTCTTTTTTTCTTCTTCTTTTTATTTTAATTTTGGCAACATTTCCGTCACAATTACAATCTAGTATATACGCAGGGTGGTGGTGGCATATGTCTTTAATTCCAGCACGTGGGAGGCAGAGGCAGGCAGATCTCTATAGCATGAATCTTAAAAGTTCTTATCAATAAAATCAAACCTGAGGCCAGTTATTGGGGTGAATGCTGGAAGATCAGAGAAGCAGAACAAGCTATAGCTACCTCACCTTGCCAGTTCCTCAGCTGATCCTGTTTCCTCAGACTGGAAGCCTCTGAGTCCTCATCCAGAATGGGTCTCAGCTGAACTGTAGCTCAAAAGCCTAAAAGCTTAACCAGCCAAATGCTTCTTGTTTCCAGTCTTCACGCTTTATATCTTGGGATTAAAGGCATGTGTCACCCTGCCTGGCTGTTTCCAATGTGGCCTTGAACTCACAGAGAATTCAGAGGGATTTCTGCCTCTGAAATGCTAGGATTAGAGGTGTGAGTGATGCCATTTTCTAGCCTCTGTATCTAGTGGCTGTTCTGTTCTTTGACCCCAGATAAGTTTATTAGCGTGCACAATATTTCGGGGAACACAATACCACCACAGATCTCTATGAGTTTGAGGCCAGGCTAGTCTACAGAGCAAGTTCCAGGACAGCCAAGGCTACACAGAGAAACCTAATCTTGGAAACAAAAACAAAAACAAAAATACAACACACACACACACACACACACACACACACACACACACACACACACGAACATTCAATAATACTGGGAGCTCCTTACTCAGATGGTTAGGTCTCAGATTAGTTCTCAGATTGTTCCTCCAACTACAGACAAGATCCTCTTTTTCAGTTGTCAAAAAGTCTTGATCTCACTTTGAACCTTTAATTATCTATTAATCACCTTTAGCATCTCCAAAGCTTTATTCCATCCAACCACATCCATTGCTCCTATAGTTGCAATTTTCCTCATGCTACCCACTTGACACATGAGTGCTAAAGCATTCCTTTCAGTTGGTCTTCCCCAGAGTTAGGAATGGCCTATAACTTACCTATCAAGAAGGGTGCTATCATCTATAGTCACATCCATGAAAGCTGTGGTCCAGTTCCCAAATCCCAATTCAGAGTCATCTCACTGAGACTCGCCGACTTCAACTGCTGCAAGTTCACTTTTCCAGGAACGGAAAGAGGGAGAGGGGGCTATTTGCACACAGGAAGTTCGTGTGGGAGTGCCTTCGAAGTCCACAACTGAATGCACAGAGGAAATAAGACAGCTGAGTGAAACTGAGGAGTGACATCATAGAACGATGACAGTTCTGCCTGGTCTCCAGTAATCATCGGTTTGACTTAACTCTCTTATGTACTTTTACCACCTGGGACCCCTGAGTATAGTAATAGATTCCGGGTGTCTTTCTGGGCTCCTCCAAGCTCATCTAACAAAAGGAATAGGATACTGAAACAATGTGGACAACAGTGTAACTTATCTTGTGCATCATGTTCTTACATCTGCAGTGGATGCCATGCTGAACCACACAGGCTTGCCTCTCAGAAGGGAAGATACTCATTCACCTACCTACCTGAATACTGGTGGCTGCATCGCTCCAGTGGTTACATCCTCAGGAAATAACTTTGGCAGAAGAGAAGCCTCCAGCCAAGCCTGCACTCCCTTCTAGTTAGGTCGTACAGATCCAGGCACTTGGAATGGGTATGGGAAGGTTTTAAGTCTCCTACTTTAAAGCAGAGAATTCCCAAATAACGACCCATTTTGAAAACCCTCCCGCAACAGTTGATGTCTTCCAAACAGTTTCTCTTCCTAATTACTTTTTTTCTCTGTCTCTTTCCCAAGAATCTGACCTAGGCTACCTTCTATGCTCTGCAGTCACTGAATTTATATTATAGACATCATTAGAGGTCATAGTAGTTGAATCTCCTGCTAATGCTAGCAACACCTTCATCCAAAATAAAATATTTGACTTAGAAATTATTTTATATCACATAACATTTTTTAAAAAGTGGGGAAAAACATCCTCAGAATTTGAGAGGTTATGCAGCTGTGAAATGAGGCTCCACACTAAGGAGGCTGGAAGATCTGGGTCTACAGGATCGCTTCTGGCCATTCTTCTCATCCTTTGTCTACCCTGTGTCTCAAGTTACTTATTTCCACACAACCTGTCTGATTTTTCTTAGGTGTTCTGTGAGTATTTAATCTTCTCTCCTCTTTCATTTAAGAGAGATAAGTGGGGCAGAAGAGGCTTCTCCAGTAATTCTGTCAAGGTAATTCACACTGACAGGACCATCTCCCGAACTGGTTAAAGTGACGGTGTCATGCGTTTACAGACCTTTTTACTTCAGGTTTTTCGTCCGGTTTTAACAGCTGTGGCTTCACCGAGCCTGGCCTCAAACCTCAACTTAGTAAGTGTTTCTATGATGCCAGGGACACAGCAATGCTAGGCAAATGCTCTGCCCCTGGAGAATGCTGCTCAAGAAAACTTTGTAAGGTTCTTAAAATGATACATATTTAGGGACTATGGTGTAATAATTTCTACATAATTTTTAAGGTTATATCAGAGATACTTGGGGTTTCTATCTCTTGAAATATTTATTTGTGTTCCAAACCACCAAATTCCTTATTAATAGTTTTAAAAAATGTACACTATGGTGAATACGGCACTGTGAATTCTCATCATTGCACTGTACTACATAGCCTAGCTATGATATGTGTTTCTGTATCTCTTATCCAGCCTGCATAAAGCCCATTCTACACCCTTCCAGTAACCACTAGCTATTCTGTACTTGACTTCTGCAACGTTAAGCTTTTAGCTCCCACATGTAAGTGGCCAGAAGCAACATTTCTTTCCATCTCCTCGTTTGTACTTAAAAGTTGTCCAAAACTGTTCTTCCAAACACAGAAAGAGCTTAACACTGATAAGAAAAATGGAAAAAGAGTGGAAATCCATCGAGCCGTTATTGTGCAGAACACTTTATTGTTGGTTTATACACTTTATTTCCGAGTATAGATGTTCAGATCCAGATTTGCAATGTCAGCCCAACTAAGTGTCACTTACTCCCAGCTTGTGGGCCAAGGTCTGTTAACCAGAGATTTCAGGGATTCCTTGGTGACCTGTCAGTTAACTCAGGATTTTGATATGCAGGGATAACCATTAAACAATTGATTTTTACCAAGACCAAATGTGCAAACAATGTAAACTTACTGCATAGCAATGCATAGCTATGTAATTGGTTCAGTGCTGTGGCTGGTGCAGTGGATTTGAATGGGAACTGGCTATACCCTTGGTAATCTTGAAACACATCCAGTAAGAAATTCTTCCCTTCAACGGCTCCTGTCATAATCAATAGGTCTCTGAGTAGAGTTACCTGTTGGATTTCCATAAAAGTCAGAGCTTTTAATAGACTCACTTCCAGCTTTGAACGACTTCTATTTATAGATTTTACAGTATCAGATGTAGTTCTGGGGAGAGAGGTGCAAGTTTGCTCAGGGGTTTTAAGAAAAGCATTCCAAGATGTGTTCCATATAACACTGTCAATGTAACTTGACAGCTGCTTTCTGGAAGAACCATATGAAAACCTCACAAAGGATTCTCTTTATGAGAAGAGAAGATACAGGCAGATTATTTCTGCATGGCGGTCATTGCTTCCTTGGGCAACTCATTCTTCCCTACTTGAGCTTGACCTGGAAACTTTTTCTCATGTAGTTCCATACTCTGATCATAAGGTTGGTTAGTGACCAAACTGGGCTGGTGGTCAAAGCCAAACTCCTAACATCCTAATGTTTGCTCAGAAATGACTGAGGACCCAAGACAGGGAAGGAGCATCTCTTGGATTGATCACACACACTGGAAGATACAATGTCTATTTATACTAGGCTATCTTATTACATAGAAGAGATTTTAATCAAACAAAATGAGAGTTTAGCAATACAAACAGGTGATAACCCCTGATGGTGTGCCCCGAATCTGTGTACTTGATAGGACACTTAGCTTGCTTATTTGCTTGGACATTTCAATAAGTGAGTCAATGGATTCTTGTCCTATTTGTTTGAATTGGTGTTCAAGCCAATTTCATCTAAAAGTATTCAGATTAACAGTAGATTATTTAGGGGAATCATGCATGAGGCATGTCTACCATTGATTAATTAGTCTTCTCTACTTAAATTCCCCCTTTATTTATGTCAGACTATTCTACGAGCATGACACTTCCCTAAAGGTGTACATAGGAAGGTTTTCCTGAGTCTGCTTCTGTAAGTGAAGAATCCCCTGTGGGCAGTGATAAAACCCCAACTCCTCATAGAGTTAACCTAACTCTATCAGTTTAATTATGACATGAAAGCATGGAGCACACACGTCTAATTCCAGTGTTATGTAAGTGGCCAAATAACTGTCTATAGGTTTCTGCCAAGCTTCCCTCCCCCTACATTCCTCTCCCCCCCAAAAAAAACTGACAAAGCGGACTATCAAGCGTGCACACACAAAAAGTGTAACCAGTATTCTAGTCCCATGATATTGGGAAGGGTCTAGGTGATAGTTAATATTGATGATCAACTTGACAAGACCAAGGGTTAGATAGGAGATACTTTGGGCATCTCTGTGAAGGAGTTTGGAGATTATGTTAAAGGAGGTTGAGAAGACTCACACTAAATATGGGTGGTAGCATCCCATGGGCTGGGGGTCCAGATTGAATCAAAGGGAAAGAGTGAACTGAATAGCAGCCTTTACCTCTGTTGGTAGCTGCCTCAAGCTCCTGCCGCCATGTCTTCTTGGTCATGATGCACCAAACCCTTCAACTCTGAGCGTAGACACACCATCCCTTCTTTGAGAGGCTTTCGTCAGGTATTTCATCATAAAAATGAGAAAAATAACTGATATCACCTTTTATGTTTAGATGTCCTGTCTTCTCTTAGGTAATATGTAAATATCAGCTCTTGGTCACTGGCATAGCTAAACACTGGTACAATTACAAAAGACAGACCAGGGAGCAATTATTAGTGCTACATTCCTCCAGGGTCACAAATCAGTAACAACTGAGCATTCCAGAATTTCTCTTATTAGCAGTGAACACTGAGGATATAGAAATGACTAAAGCTCACCATAAAAATTGTCTATATTTTTTACCTGATTTTGCCTAAGCCTGGTCAACTTCATAAATTTCAACACAATCATAGTTTGATCCTTTTATTTTCAGCATTACTCCCAATGACAGCACTCACATTGCTGAGACAGGAATAATTAGCAGAAAACGAGTGGTCACTAAGTACTGTACCAGTTAAACTCGTGGTCCTCACAGCATTTACTAATGTTATCAACACAATCATTTCCTTATTATAAATATGATGGCAAGTCGCAGATAAACTCACTTCCCCAAGGCCATGCCTAGGATAAGTGAGAAGAGTTGGAACTGTGGGGACATAGTTAAGAAGACTGCTCAGTCTACGCTTCTGCCTGTTGTCCTGTATTCCCTTACAAGGTATCAGCTTGAATTCCAGCCTTGTGTTTCTCTTTTCCCTCCTAGAAGTCAGAGAGACTGAAACATGAGGTCCTGGAGTCTGTCATTCATCTTTGCTGATTTCTTTTTGAGGACATTAATGAAATAAGAAGCTAGTTTTTTGTTATCAAGCTATAGATATTCTTTTTGATTCTCTGAAAGGTTCCCATGATCATATTTAGTACATAGTATCCCTTGATAAGCTTTCCTGAATAAGCTCCCATGTATTCAAGAGAGAGAGAGAGGTTTCCATTCTATGGTGAGAGAAGTACTCAAAACTAGGACTGCACTGGATAGAGGATATTAGCAGATTTTCCTAGATCATATCTACTTACCCAGCAAGGAGATGCTCTATGTCACTCAGACATATAAGGGCTATACCCCAAAACAGTAAAAAGGATGTAGTCTTGTAATGTAAGGGTAAGGTGACCTCTAGTGCCATGGACAATACAAGTGTCTTGTTTGAATAATGCCATGGGTTGGCATGGGAGGAAGCTCATTACCAAGAGACCAGTTGGAATTATTCCTGGTTTCCTTGATGTGCAGTGTGGACAGGCCAGGAGATCATCATAAGTAAGACCATTCGAGGCTCTCTTGACTTCTCTACACAAAAAGGTGGCACATTGTTCAGATTCAGACTTTACAAGGCAGATAGATCTGTAGCATGTGACCTCCTTTAGTAAGGTGTTTTTAAAGAGAATCCGAATTGGAAAAGTGCTACTCTGTGTATTTGGGGA